AATGAAACTTTAATAGACAAAAGTGGGTGTGAGCGAAATTTCAATGTCACGGTGTGTATAATTATCGCCCATATGCTTTTAGCTCGTGAGCAGCTTTTTAAGTTCTTGAATACTTTTTTATAACTGAGATGTTAGATAAGACAATCCACTCCTTGTTCGAACCCGCTACTCACCCAGCGTTGGGTATTTTCCCCATTTCCAAATTTCAGAATCTTAGGCGCATTACTTTCTAGCTCCAACTTTCTTCTTCCTGCCTTTTTGGGTAATTTTTAACAAAAGAACAGGATCCTTAAATTACTCATGTTTGGCTCCTTTTGAACATGTCATTGTTGTCCATGTTTACGATTACCTGAAATTATCTGTGTACAGATGAAGCATAGGATTGGGGTAGAAGAGATTGCGAATCATGTGTTGCAATCATGGGAAGCAGCTACTGGAAAGAAACGTCATTGACGTTTCTGTGAAAACCGGTGTCACATGTTCTGTCATTTCATGAATATTACTGTAAACTTCTCAAAACATGTTTATGTGTTTATGCGAACTCTCCTTTCCCTTTACTTTGTGTTGCTGTTACGAGTTACGGTGCTCATGGACTTTCAGAAAAACAGTAAAAATAAGAAAATCCTATTAGCCTCGTCTTTTAAAGCCTCAAAATTATTGATAATTCGATATTTTTCTTTTTTTTTGGTACAAAAGAATTGGATATTTTTCTTGTATTTTCAAAGGTTCGCCCCAAAAAAAAAAAAGGAATGAAAGAAGTTATAAATCTTCTTGAGTAAGATGCCTATTGATCATGATTTTATTACTGGATCTTGTACCACTGAGGAAAACTGATGTTATGATTTCCGTCACAAATCCCTTTGCAAACTTATATGAGAAGCATTTCTGGGATCATCTTATTGGTCATTCAGATTCAGGGAATAAGCATGATGACCTCCTTCTCCGAGACATAACCTTATTTCAGCCTCGCTATTACATGATAGCTTAAACTCGAAGTATGGATGATTGCTTGCTTGTTCATGAAGATGCAATTGCAAGGCAACCCAGTTCATGAAAAACACCACATGCTTTTATTTCAAGCCTTGCTATTCTGTCATTCCTTTAAAATATTCCTCTTACATAATCCCTGTGACATAGTGGATGGACAGAAAATTTTTATATCCCAAAAGCCATACATAATTTAGACATTAATCACGTATGTTTTCTAGAACACACTTAAATTTGATTCCCAACTTAAATATAGTCATCAGTGCACAAACTAGTCGCACAATCATCAATCAATTCTATTCAGTTCATATCCCACTGCCACTATCACATAGAAAATTCCAATTTACATATAAAGGGAATGTCCATAACAAAAAGGAGAGGAAAAAGAGAAGAAAACGTGGCAACTTGCGCAAATAAAGTCTTACTTTTTAAAGAATGCTCTTCATAAAACCACTACCTTCACTTGCACAAAGTGCAGACCCCAAAAAAATATTGTGAAGGTGAGCCAATCCCAGACAGTTTTTCTTTTTTTAAAAAAAAAAAAAAACCTTTATTGGTCAAACAAGTTGCCAAGTGCATTTTTCTTCCCACACGCCACTGGTAATAACTCATTCTGGTTCTGCAAATGAGGAATGTCTTGATCAGAAGGCGCAGTTGACTCTGTGCCTGGAATCACCCTTTGCTTTTTATGTACTCCATTTTGTCTTGTAAGAGGTAAATCAATGCAACGCAAGAGACTTGTGCTGTGAAGAGGATAGTCCAAAGCGTTATGCTTTTTAAGGTTCTCTTATGGTAGGCTTTGAGACCTGTGTAAATGTTGATGATCGCCACCAATGAGATTATTGTCCCTAATATCCAGTGAACAAAGTACCAATAAGTCCTCTCTTTCTTTTGCCTGCAATAAAGGGTTATGGTCATGCAAAGATAGTCATGAGGGAAACTTGTGAGAAGATGGATATCACTGATGAATCAACCTGTGAGGCCTGAAAAATCCTATCAAACCTTGAACCAATATAGCGCCATAAAGTGCAAGCCCTGTTCTTTGATGGTTGTTATCAAATGAATTCTCAAGTTTTTCAGGGACATGACAGCTCCAGCTGTAGCAAGAAGCACTGAGAGCATCTGTTAGAATTTAGATGAAGTGTTCAGCTTTATGCAATCAAGGAGAGGATAAAAAAATAAAGATGCATTAAAATATCCATGACTTGTAAAATCAATTTAGTTAACGAACAGTGATTTTACCAGCTACTTGTAACTGAAAATCATAAACTATGAATGAAAGCAAATCTAAGTAATAATGTCACAGTTGAGGTCTAAGTGGATATGAATTCTTAAAAAAAGTTATGGGCGGACCATCACTAACTAAAGTTAAAGTTGGGTAATGATTATGTTTTAAACCAAGATCAGAACTTGAATGATGGCAACCTGCAACTTCCAAGAAGCGTCTTTAACTTCACTCAAATTAATTCAATTACCACTGCAGCTTAACTGCAGTTAACATTTATCAGTAAAAATAAATAAATAACAAGAACTAATAGGGAGCTATCAGCAAAAGGAAAAAAAGAACAAATAGAGAGAAATTTATGACCTGAAATGCAACATGGAGATAAAAGAGGACCCTACTCCTTGTTGATCCATTCCCCTCTCTACCTGACATTCTGATAGTAAGTATCCCTAATGGCATTGAGAATCCCATCGAAGCCCACAGTAGCAATCCATGAAGTGCTATGTCAGATGTCTTCTGAGAATTGATCTGCTAAATTAACTCGCAGTAGTTAGACACTCACTTATCGTATCAGCATTAGAAAGCCTATTACGTTTCTAGTTGATTAACTACATGTTTGGTTCTACACGGGCATTTGCAGCTTACCAGTTTATCCCAGGAAAATAGTAGCGAAGGCTTTTTCAGATATAAATTTTGCGAAATAGTATTTGATACTGCCGATATACAATCTGTCATCTCTAGAAGAAAAGAGAAGAAGGAAAAGCAGAAGAAGCAATTGTTCAGTTGGTTTACCTTGTTGATTTTGTGATTTGAGCTCTTGTGACTGCCAGACTGACTCACCTCCTTAAGGAATGAACACTCAGTGAAAGGAAGAGCAGAAACATAACATGAAAGGATAAAAATGCAGACTTGCCTCCAGGAAATATGCATTCTTCAATGCCTCAGAACAAATAAGAACAGCAGCACAAGCCCCACTAATAATCACAGTACTCCTCTTCTATGTGTGCGCTTCAAGTTAAAGATGCTTTATATATGATTGTTCTTGAGATGGTAGAGAGAGCTTTTGAAGTGTGGTGAAGACACTGCATGCACTTTTTGTATAAAGAAGCTAAAAGGAGGATTAGTATTTGAATACTAAAAAGTTGCTGCAGTGGCTACAAAACCCATAAACACGTCCAATATGGGGTAGTTGAACAGATGTATGTATTGATTATAGTTTAGATGAAAGAGAAAAGGGAGGGAGGAGTAAGATCTCATTTTCAAATGTGGGGTTCGTTGACATATGCACACACTGTCTAGTGTCAAGGACTCGTTGAATTATAAACATAAATGGTCAAAATCCGATGGGTGCATAAGGTGCTTGATTTGAGGTGGACAGTTTGTAAAGGTAAACGAGGGTAAGATTCAAAGACAAAGGTCAAAACCCACCATTATTCCTCTCTACGCTAATTATTTATCACTTTTATTCGTACCTTTTTTCTTTTTAATTTGCAGAATTGATATAATTACTAGTTATGTATCTTGACTTGTTTCACACCCACATATATAAAAAGATGCGTTGGGTGAATTCAGTAAATCTTGTGAATTTAAAAGTTCAGGTGATGTAAAGGTAAAATATTAAAATTATAAATTATAAACAGAAATTTGTTTAAAAGTAGTTGCTTCTCTCTCCAGCTTAATTTTGTTTGTTAGATTTGGATAAGAGAAAAGAAATAGATTCTCACGGTAAAGGATCACTTCTAGAATCAAGACCACAAAATTCCTCACAAATCCTACTATCTTGGCTCCAATATATTTTATTTCAATTTCAATTCAATTTCCTATATATATAGTTTACGTGAATAAACATGATAGCGTCATCCACGCGAAGCAATTTTAGTTGCTAACCTTGGCTTGGAATCGCTAGAGTGACAGGCACCAACGAACACTTGTGATGGCATAAGTTCGGTCGCTCGGTCTTGTGTAAAAAGCTCATGACCCCTTACACTATGGCACATAAGTTCAGTCCTTTGGAAAGTTTTAAAAAAGCTTTAAGGGTTAAACTGCATCCTGTACCATAAAGCATTTTCTTAAATGCATCTGCACTTCAAAATATTTAGTTGCGTCCAGCACCTTAAAGTTCTTTTTTTTTTGGTCTTGAAGCTGGATGGACCAAAATATATTTTTAGGTATTGGACATACCTAAAAAAAAAATCAGTATGCCCATGCTGAATGTATAAAAAATACTTTAAAATGCTGAACACACTTAAAAGAAAACTTCAAAATGCTAGATACATCACAAAATACTTAAAGATACTAAATATACTTGTAAACACACTTCGAAGTGCTAGATACATCTCAACCTAAGTTTTAACATAGCCTGGTTTGAAAATAGATCAAGTTCATCCTATCTTGAGCACAATTCCGTTATATCCATTTATTCCGTAACTAATATCTTGCTCTCACATGATGTATGTGGGAATGAAGATGATACGGTAATAGTTAGGAGAGGAAGAGGGGACAAATGGGATTGGCAGGAACAATGATGAGGACGAGAGTGGCATTAATTAATGGGCACCAACACCATAGAGGGAGTGGTGGTTGCCAATTCTCAATCTGCGGCCGCCAACGCCATAATATTGTTGCCAATTTAAGTCATGCAGTGGCACTGCCATCTGTCTCCCTTTGCTCCCAAAAGGCATTGGAGCCACACCACCAGCACTTTATATGTAGATCCAGAGCCATCAGAACACAAAGGCATACATGTGAGAGCTTGATTTCATCTGTGATTATTAGTAGAACTCCAAGATAGACAAAAATTTATGTTCCTTTCTTTCTACTGAGTTATAGAAAAGATTAAGATCATATCCAATAAAAATATAAAAATAACAAGACTACAATCCAATGACAGCGTACTATAATTCTCAACAAAATCAAGCAAGAACATAAGGGGGCGTTTCTGCCAAAAAAGGCCCCAAGTCTTACTCTCTTCCGCCCTACACATTACATAAACAAATTGGGCCTTGATGCCTTGTATGTGGTCTTCAGCGTTCTTGTGGGTGGTCTGACCTTCCTGAAAACCAATGGGAACTTGATTTTGGAGTTGTGGAACTGTTTGGTGCTCTCCCTTTTGCAAAGCTTTGCTGGGATCGTGGCGGTCTTAATAATTTGAATGCAGGGGGACCGGACCCTGTGGCGGGAAGCCATCTCATTGTACATCTGCTCCACAGCACCATTTAGAGTGGTATCACGGTATTCCTTGTACATGTTGTGGTAGCCAGTCCTGCTCTGATACCGCAGCCAAATACCATAGTTCTTTATCTTTGTTGGGTTCTTCTCAAAGATCTGAGAGCAATAGAAACTACATGAACTTAAATAACTAAACTTTTTTTTTTTTTGGTCTGATAAAAATGTACGGGTTTTAATATTCATCGTAGAAACAAACAATCAATAGCATAAAACCTCAATGCATGTTGAGATTTAAGTTCAAAAGAAAGCTGTAGCTAACAATGTACTTCAAAGTCAACTGAAGGGTAAAGATTACTTCGACACAGGCAAGATGCATGGATGAACAGCATGCAAGCATGCATACTTCCAAATCGATAATGCCCAAAAGCAATTCAAAATCAAAAAAGCCCATTAAGATTCCGTCCCTTTTTAATATCCATCTACCAGAAATAAAAGGAAAGTACAGAAGGGAAGCAAAGTAGCAAAAATGCAAGAATAAGATATATGGCACAGAATAGTGGACTGCAAGCAAACTAGTCGGCTTAATGCAATTGAAAACAAGTCAGGGTTCAAAATGATATTGAACCACAAAAACACTTGAACAAGACATGTACAATTTGGTAAATATATAAATTCAAGGTTAATACGGTGGCAGATGGAAACCATACTGTGCATCTCAAATTACGAGCAACTTTAGTATTCATCTCTAATATCCTCAGGGTTATTTTAGAAATCAGCAACAAGCCACACTCTTGGACACAGAAAGAGTTCAAAATATGAGATTAATTCAACAAAAAGATTACATAGGGAAAACATTAGACCTGACAGAATAGACAGTTAATAAATTAATTTCATAAATGTGCAAAATCAACATCAGTAGAGAAAGAATAGACAAAAGAGCAAGAAAGAATAGACAATACAATGAGGATAAATGAATATTCTGAGGCACACTGTAGCGGCTGTGCTCAGATTCCTTTAATATATATAGGACGCAACAGATAGGGTTTCTATGAGCTATACAATTATAACCATACACGTGTAGGGAGGAGATATAAATGATACAGCTGTACAAGTATTTAACCATATAAACAATAAACAATATAATTATATTCTAACAACTAGGCAATGACATGTCATTACTGGCTAATAACTGATCCATTTGCAGCAGGGATCACAAAGGCAAAACTCTGGATTGAAATCAAACCATGCATGTATTTTCCAACTGTACACACAGGAGTAAATGGGCGCCATAATTCATGAACAGCAAAATTTAATACGCCAAACAGAATTCCGGCCGAGAAAATACACCAAATATAAATTAACATCAGTCACATTTTACATTTGTTGGAGTTGGCGTACAAGTTCAACAAGACTAGACAAGATAATAAAGACCACCGTGAAAAGAGATGGCACGGCGTCTAAAATAATCTTTTCAAGCAATGAATCTAACCAAAAGAAAAGTTGATCTTGGCGAGATACGGTGCAAATACATACAACATAAAAATTGAAGGACACGTAAGTGAACTCATACCTCATTGATAGCAAGCACTTGACCGTTGCTCTTTTTGACCTTCTTCAGTTTCCTCAGAAAATACCTAGTTCAAAGAGATCAGCCAATCCAAAATATCAGATTAACCCGCTGGAACCAGAATTGGATTCACTTAGCATAAACTTCAGCATTTTCTCGAGCTGAAGCATTAAACAAAACTGAACCCACATATGGATCACGAACAAAACACTTTACCAGAACTTTGACTTGGCTCGAACCTCGTTAGTGGCTCATAACTTCATGCGGTAAATTTTCGGGTGTTCATCCGATTCTGTAGGGAGAGCCCTCCCAACGACTTGATACTGATGGAACTGCGAACCAAAAAGAATGTTAAGAAAGAGCTAAGGGTACCAAAATCTCAAATGGCCAGCTATATAATTGTCAGGCTTCAATTAGATGAATTGGGCATGAAGGAACATAAATCACTTGACGAATTAGAAATTCAACAACAGTAAGTTTGATTCAATAGGCAGATGAGCCTTCTCACCCTAAAAGTAACCATTTTTTCAAAGCAGGTTGCAGGACGACTAGAACTCCCGAGGGCCTGTTTGGTTGAGGGAGGGAGGGGAGGGAGGTTTCATCCTCACCTTATTTGGTTTGATTAAAAAGGAAGGGAAGGAAGGGTATTTAATGATATCCCTTGTTTGATTCAAGGAAAGGAGGGGAGGAATAGTAATAATCAATTTACTATTTTACCCTTACATATTAGTTTATGTTTTTTATTGATATATTATATACATTAATTTACATCTTAATTTAAATTATATAATTTATTAAAAACTCAGTCTTATCATGTTAATATGTGTATTAAAAAATTAGTATAGTAATTTTTTATTCTAATTAATATAATAATATATTTAAAATAATCAAATTAACAAATTTTATATGCTCTAAGAAAAATAAAATTTTATTTTCTTTAGGCTATCTTTTTTTCCAGCTTTAAAATATATTTAATAAATAATATATTTATAAAAACAATTAATTTTATAATATTATAATTTTTTATTTAAATAATTTTTTTATTTTTAAATAATTTTTATAATATATTTTTAATTATAATAATGTATATATTTTTATTTTTTTTACTTAGAATAATATATTTTTATTTAAAATAAATATTATAATAATATATTTTATGGGTAGAAGTGGAATATTAAAAAAACCATAAGGACATAATTGTCCAAAATTTTGGCTCCCCTCCAAAAACCCCCAATTTGGAGGGGAGCCAAAATGGAGGGAGGGAAGAGAGGGGAGGGGACATTTTAGCTCCCCTCCCCTCCAAAATTTTTAACCAAATGAGAGGAGGGGTTCATTTCCCCTCCCCTCTCCTCCCCTCCAACCAAACACCCCTAAGGCTTCCTCTGTGTCCCAGTCAAAGGAAAGGAAGGAGAGCCTAGCATTTCGTTACGGTTATGTAGGAACCAATAAAACCCTACTCGGGAAAGAAGCCTTCGCGCAGTGAGCTTTTTTATTTTTGGATTTTTTTTTCCCGTCTTCACAAGCTATTAGCACATCGCCACATCCTATGTGAAAAAAGATATAATAAATGTATTAATTCTGACGGGAAAATTTTTTAACTAAACCCTTGCATGCCATTATTCTTTTATACTATTTTTTATTCCTAATTATAATACTCCTCCGGTCCTTAATATAGGACTCAATTCATGAGTGGTTTTGGTCCTAAATATAAGATCTATTTCTCATATTATCAATTTTCTCTAAAATACCCCTATGAATACTCCCTCAACCATAATCAAGTAGAAGAGGAAGAGGGGGTATAAGAAAAATGATTATGGTGTTTTAGGAAAAATGTGTAACTTTTCTTATAATTAACTAACTTACCTAATTTCCTTAATATAATCAAATTAGTTAAATAGGTGTTATATTAAGGACCGGAGGAGTATGTTGTTTATAAACTATAAACGAAATTTTATAATTAAAATAAGAGTTAGTGTGTGTGTGTGTGTATATATATATCTTTGCGTTCAACAAAATAGATCTAATTTGGTCCAAAAAAAACATAATACATCTAAGACTTTCTAATATATCCATTGCATCTGCTAGGAACAATTTTCACGAGGAAAAAAAATATGAGAGCGAGGATATCAATGTCATGAGAGGCTAGTTTCTTTTATTATATCTAATCCTGTTAGTATCTCTGTATCTGTCTAGCTAAATATATGAATTATGCCTTGTATTTGGCATGGACGTAGTATTACACAATGGGTTTTTTTTTTTTTTGGGTGAACATGAGTTTTAAAAGCTAGAAACCAAAAATAAGGTTGAGTAACCTTTTGATACGAGAGAAATAAAAAGAGAGGATGAGCTCGATTTAAAAAAATTAAAAAAGTGTGGTTACAAATTTTTATTTGATCTTTATTATTTTTTTATGTTTCCCTCTTTTTCTTTCCTTCTCCCATGCCAAAGTTTCCAGCTTAACGGCCCACTATGGGGTCTGGCCCAAAAAGGAACGACCCACCACAGGGGAGTGAAAGTGGAAAAATAGTAAAAGTAATGAGTCGTTAAGAAATTATGTTAACCTGAAAGGCAGTTCAGCAAATTTTGTTATTTTCCTGCAAAACCCTAGTCCGTTGTCTATCCTCTTTTATATAGCGAAAGCAGGAGCCGGCCTCCTCTCCCACTTGGCCGGTTCTCAGAACAAGCAGGAGGAGCGACTCCGCAACCTTAACCCTAGCGTCCGACCTCATTGTCTCGCAACCATGGTAAGGAAATCGCATTGCGACTCATTTTCTTTTTTATCTCCTTTTCGTGCACATGCTGTCTTACTTAATGTTTGAACTACCAATTGTGTAGTTTGACATGTCTGAGGGAATCGATCGATAAAAGTTTACCACTTTAGTCTATATAGTGAATGATAATCTTTAGCCTCTGAATGCTGGGTTGTCTGCAATGTCAATAAATCCATTTTATGTGCCATGGTTTCTCCAATTTATTACGAATTTAAACAGCAGTAGAGGAGACAAGTAATATATTTTGCTAAACCTGACGCGGTCGCAAATTCTTCGAGCGGACATTGATTTCTTGAAGCTGTTTGCCTTAATGTGGTTAAATAACTGATATATTTGGTCTGGTGGAGCACTCCATATTTTTGAAAAGCAAGATCAAAGCTGAAGTCTTGAGATTTAATTTTGTTTCTGTTTAAGACGCGCAAGATGGGATCAATTATAATTTGCTATTTATGTTTTGTAGTCAAGGAGAAAGGTAAGAGAGCCAAAGGAAGAGAATGTCACCCTTGGCCCAACTGTAAGAGATGGTGAACATGTTTTCGGTGTAGCCCATATTTATGCATCATTTAACGACACCTTCATCGTGAGTATTAACAGAAGATTTTACCCTTTGTAGATTTGGATTGCTTAAGTCAGGTTTTTATTGATTTTTTTTTTTAATTGTTCACAGCACGTGACTGATTTGTCCGGGAGAGAAACGCTTGTCCGCATCACTGGTAAGCTTGTTCCTTATTCGTTCTTCGGATGTAATGAACCGAGTATTACCATTTAGTTGCCATCATTCCTATTTCCAGTTTTTATACTAACTAGAAAGAGCTGGGCTGAGTGAACTGCGCTATCTATGAGTGTTCTCATAATTGATCAATTTGTTATGTCTATACATTTTAGAGCTGTAGGACTAGCATTTAATTGAAGTGTTTTACCCTATGCCAGCTTTGTTATCAACACAACATATTACCGTGCCCATTATTCACTTGGAAATCTGTCTTAACTGTTCAGGATTATCATTAGGTATATTTCTCTTTTCATGGTCATGTGATAACTATTGGGGTCTCGTGATCTGTCTCATGATTTTAGGTGGAATGAAGGTTAAAGCTGACAGGGATGAGTCTTCCCCATACGCTGCTATGCTTGCTGCGCAGGATGTATCTTCTAGATGCAAGGTTTGAGGGACTTTCTTGATAATTTTTGTTATTTCAGTTGGTCGCACTGTAAAATTATGATGCAAATATTAATTTTAATAATATGTTATGTAATTAAGTAATAAGCTAGATATGAATACATATTCATTGACTGAGTCGAAACATTCTGGGACAGGAACTTGGCATCACTGCTCTTCATATCAAGCTCCGGGCCACTGGTGGAAACAAGACAAAAACTCCCGGTCCTGGTGCTCAGTCTGCTCTACGTGCCCTTGCTCGTTCTGGAATGAAATTGGTCGCATAGGTAATGAATGACCTCTAATGGAATGAAATCTTACTGTATAGCTCTAGAATTGTAATGTGGCTGTAACTTAACACGTGATATTCATTTTTCAGAGGATGTGACTCCAATTCCTTCTGATAGCACTCGCAGAAAGGGTGGTAGAAGAGGTAGAAGGCTTTAAAGCGAATCATGGTATATGCTGGGGCCTGCTCTTCTCGTGGCTATATTGCTTTCTTTTACTTTCTAGACAGTATGTTATCATGATGAGGTTTAGGTTAAGTTGGACGTCAATTTTGGAATTATATTGAACTTCTCGACTATTGTCTTGTCCAAGGATTTTGCTTGAGTCAATTAAAATGTCATAGTTGCATACTGTTCCAATTTCTGCGTATTGCATCATTGATAGGGTGGTTCTGGCTGGTATTGAAAGTTGGCTTGACGACGATTTGTACCTAAACTTGTCCATCATGAGGTTCATTATGATCCGATGATCCCCTCCCACCATCTGCTCCAGTTAGTTTTAGGTCTTTATTGCACGTAAAGCTCTCCTTTATTGCGACGTGGGAATAGTCTGCCTTAGCGCTCGAAGCATCAAAAATCTGGAGTCTTATTGTTTTAGTCGGGGCTTAGTCAATGCTATATAAATCTCACCCAGCTTTGTGGTTAAAATTAACCAGCATCTCATTAGATGTCGGAAGCATGGTATGATTGGTACCAGATTAAAGTGGTTAATATCTAATCTGTCCGAAATGTTGGCTGGTAAAATTGGGTGACGAGCTGACGTTCTGAAGAGTATTGAAAATGGGCACGCGTGGGATCAACAATATGCTAGGGTGGATTTACGGAGTTTATTCATCTACCAATAGTGCTATCACTCCCTCTCCCTAATTGTTATCTTAGTAATTTCTCCTCTAATGACGTTTTAAAGAAGAGAGCTAAAAACAAGGCAATCTACATGATCCTGGTTCCTTAAGTTTTCAATAATATTTAAAACAAAGTGTTCAAGGCACCCAACAATTCCAGAATCGCAATTCGATTTGTAAAATCACCAAAGGGTAAAGTCTATATGTATCTCGGATTCTTTCCAAATGCAGTCCGTGACTTGTAACCAGCCAGCCTGCATAAAGCTTAAGC